GTTTGGGGGGATGTGACGGGGTACACGGAGGATGTGGGGGGGGATTGGGGGGCACAGGGTGGATTTGGGGGGCATGGGGGGTGGTCCCCAAGCCCCCCCTCCCCATCTGTGTCCCGGTTCGGATCCGCTGCTCCCTCGGCACCTCTGGAACGGGGCCGGGAGCTGGGGGGGCTCCTGGCCCAGTTTGGACTGGGGGGGCTCCCCCCGGCCCAGTTTGGACTGGGGGGGCTCCTGGCCCAGTTTGAACTGGGGGGGCCCTGGCCCAGTTTGAACTGGGGGGGCCCTGGCCCCGTTCCAGGACTATTTTTTGGTGGGGGGAGTCAACCACGACCCCTCGGGGGCATTTTGGTGCCTCAGAACCCCCTTTGGCCGTGCTCTGGGGGTCTCTGTGCCCCCCAGCTCCATTTGGGGGGGTCCCAACCCCCTCCAGCCGTTTTTATTTTGGGGGGCGGGGGTCTCACGGGCTGTGCCCCCCCCCAGACAGAGCTACGACATCAGCATCGTGGCCCAGGTGGACCAGACGGGCTCCAAATCCTCCAACCTCCTGGACCTGAAAAACCCTTTCTTCAGGTAGGGCCGAGCCGGGGTTTTGTTGGGGGGCCTCCCCCAGCCCCCCAAAATCCTGACGCCCCCTCCCCACCCCAGGTACACGGGCACGACCCCCTCGCCGCCCCCCGGCTCCCACTACACGTCGCCGTCGGAGAACATGTGGAGCACGGGCAGCACCTACAACATGAGCACGGGCATGGCCGTGGCCGGTGGGTCTGGGGGGCTCTGGGGGGGTCTGGGGGGGTTCTGGGGGGGTCACCCCGCGGTTCTGGGGGGGCTCTGACCCCCTTCTCCCCACGCAGGGATGCCGGCGGCCTACGACCTGAGCAGCGTCATCGCCGGGGGGTCCAACGTGGGGCACAACAACCTGATCCCCCTGGGTGAGTGGGGGGCTCGGGGAGGGAGTGGGGGGCTTGGGGGGGGCTCAGAGAGAGAGTGGGGGGCTCAGAGGGGGAATTGGGGGGTTCAGGGGGGGAGTGGGGGGCTCAAAATGAGATTGAGGGACTCAGGGTGGGAGTGGGGGTCCCATAATGACTTTGGGGATCTCACAATGAGAGTGGGGGGCTCACAGTCACAGCAGGGGTCCCACAATCAGAATGGGGGTCCCACAATGACTTTGGGGGTCCCACAATGACTTTGGGGGTCCCACAATCAAAGTGGGGGTCTCACAATGACTTTGGGGGTCCCACAATGACCGTGGGGGTCTCACAGTGACAGTGGGGGTCCCACAATCAGAGTGGGGGTCTCACCATGACTTTGGGGGTCCCACAATCAAAGTGGGGGTCTCACAATGCCTTTGGGGGTCCCACAATCAGAGTGGGGGTCTCACCGTGCCCCCCACCCCCCACAGCCAACACCGGCATCGTCAACCACACTCACTCCCGGATGGGCTCCATCATGAGCACAGGGATCGTGCAAGGTACCCCCAAAACCCCCCCAAAACCCCCAAAAACCCCCCAAACCCCTCCTGCACCCCCCCAAAACCCCTCCCGGACCCCCCAGCCCCCCGCTGACCCCCCTGTGCCCCCCAGGCTCGTCCGGCGGGCAGAGCGGCGCGGGCTCCAGCGGGCACTACCCCCTGAACAGCCAGTTCACCATGGGCGGCCCCCCCATCTCCATGGCCTCCCCCATGTCCATCACCACCAACACCATGCACTACGGCAGCTAAAACCCCCCAAAAACGGGCAAAAACGGGCAAAAACCAAAATCCCCACGGCTGGGGCTCCCCCGCCCCGCCCCGCCCCCCCGGGGGTCCCCTCCTTCCCCCCCCTCGCTCCGTGCAGGACCCGGAGGGGGAATTTGGAATTTTGGGGGATTGTTTTTTTTTTTTGGGGTTGTTTTTTGGGGTTTTTTCCCCCTCGGGGAAGGTTTTGTACCGCTCGGATTCCCGGGATGGGGCGGGGGGTGGTGGGGGGGTGAGAATTCCCTCCTCACCACCGGGAATTCCCTCCCCCACCCCCGGGATGGGGATCCCGCCGGGAACGGGAACGGGAACGGAAGAACGGGAACGGACCGAGAGCCGCGGGCCGGGCCCCGTGCCGGGATCGGGAATTTCTCCGGGATTCCTCCGGAATTTCTCCGGCTGTAGTCTGAATAAACGGGAGGGTTTCCACACTCGGGCCACCCTGAGGGGTCTGGGGGCTCCAAAAATCCCTGGGGGCTAAAAATCCTTGGGGGCTCCAAAAATTCCCTAGGGGTTCCCAAATCCTTGGGGGCTCCAAAAATCCCTGGGGGCTAAAAATCCTTGGGGGCTAAAAATCCTTGGGGTTCCAAAATCCTTGGGGTTCCCAAAATCCCTGGGGGTTCCCAAATCCCTGGGGCTCCAAAAATTCCCTGGGGGCTAAAAATCCTTGGGGTTCCCAAATTTTTGGGGGTTCCAAAATCCCTGGGGCTCCAAAAATCCCTGGGGGTTCCCTAAATCCCTGGGGGCTCCTAAATCCCTGGGGGTTCCCAAATTCTTGGGGGTTCCCAAAATCCTTGGGGCTCCAAAATTCCCTGGGGGTTCCAAAAATCCCTGGGGGTTCCCAAAATTCCTGGGGGGTTCCAAAATAACATGGAGCTCCCAAAAAATCCCCGGGGGCTCCCAAAAAAACCCCGAAAACGTCGCCCGAATACCCCAAAATCATCACCCAAAAACAGCACCCAGGACCCCCCAAAATCCCCCTCAAAACCCCCCAGGACCCCCTAAAATCCCCCCAAACACCCTCAGGACCACCCAAAACCCCCCCAGGACCCCCAAAATTCTCCCAAACCCCCCCAGGACCCCCCAAAATCCCCCCAGAACCCCCCAAAATCCCCCCAGAACCCCCCAAAATCGCCCCAGGGCCCCCAAAATCACCCCCAGGCTCTGCCCCTTCTCCTCTTTATTGGAGCCGCTGGCGGGAGAAAGGGGGTGACAGATTTTGGGGGGGGGTGTGGGGAGTGGGGTCGCCCCCCGCCTCCCCCCTTCCCCTCAAAAATTTTGGGGTTTTTTGGGGGGTTTCGGGGTTCCCCCTCCCCACAATTCCCGGGATTTTCAGCGCCGCCGCCGCCGGTACAAAAATAAAAGCTCTGCACGACCCCTCCCCCCCCAAAAACGCGCGACCCCCCCCCCCAAATTCCGAATTTTTTTTGGGGGGGGGGTGGGGGGGAGGGGTCAGACCCCCCCACCCCCCCCAATGCTACAGCAGGGCCAGAAATGGGGGACCCCCCCCAAAAAAAAGAAAAAAAATCGGAATTTTGGGGTCAAAAAAACCCAAAAGGGGGGGGGGGGCACCCCGGTATTGCTGCAGCTCGGGGGGGCCGAGGGGACCCCCCCCAATTTGGGGATTTTGGGGGTTTTTTTGGCATTTTTGGGGTTTGGGGATTTGGATTTGGGGTTTGGGGAGGGGTCCCTGTGCAAACGGGGCGGTTTTGGGGAGAAAACCCCGAATTTGGGGTCTCTGTCCCCTCCCCCCCCCCCAGAAATGGCTTTTTGGGGGTCCCCCCCCTCCCTTCTCCCTTTTGGGGTTCCCTGGGGGGGAATTTTCCGTCTTTTTTTGTCTTTTCGCGTTTTTTAAAAAATAGAATAAAAATTCCCCAAGCCACCCCCAAAATAAACCCTGAAATGAATCAAATAAAATAATTCAAATAAAATAATCCAAATAAAATAATCCCATTAAAATAATCCAAATAAAATAACCAAAATAAAATAATTTTTAAAAACCCAGTAAAATAATCCAAATAAAATAACCCAGATAAAATAATCCCGATAAAAACCAATAAAAATAAAATAACCCCATTAAAATAATTAAAAAAAAAACACAAACAAAATAACCCAAATCAAATAATTAAAAAAAACCACAAGAAAATAATCCAAATAAAGTAATAAAAAAGACCCCAATAAAATAATTCAAATGAAATAACCCAGATAAAACAATGATTCAGATAAAAGTAATTCAGATAAAATAATCCTGATAAAAACAATCTCAATAAAAATAATTCTGATAAAATAATGATTCAGATAAAAATAATTCCGATAAAAATAATTCTGATAAAGTAATTCCTATAAAATCATTCCTGGTAGAAATGATTCTGATAAAATAATCCCATGAAAACAATTCTGATTAAAAAATAATCAAAATAATTCAATTGAAATTATCCCAGTAAAACCATTCCAATAAAAATAATTCCAATAAAAATAATTCCAATAAAAATAATTCCAATAAATCGATCCCAATAAAAAGAATTCCAATAAATCCATCCCAATAAAAATAATTCCAATAAAAATAATTCCAATAAAACCGTCCCAGGTCATTCTCAAAAAATAATGTTAGAAAAATAAGAATTCTGCTAAAATAATTCCCAGTAAAATAATGCCAATAAAGAATTCCAATGAGAACAATTTAAAAAAAATTAAAAAAGAAATAACAGCAATAAAAGAATTCTGCTGAAAGCAATTCCCATCAATGAAAGAATTCCAATAAAAAATTCCGATTAAAATAAATCTCATGTAAATAAATAATCCCAATTAAAAATATAATCCGATAAAAGCAGATCAAAATAATCCAAATAACATTAAAAATAATAAGTAAAAATAATCCAAATAAAAGTTATTGATAATAATAATAAATTAAAATACCAATAAAAATAATTGTTAGAATTATTAATAATTAGAAGAAAATAATCCTATTTAAAAATCCAAATTAAAAATCAATAAAAATAATCGCAATAAAAATAAAAAATTAAAATCCCAATAAAAATAAAAATAAATTGAAATAACCCAAATAAAAATAAAAAATAAAAAATCTAAATAAAAATAGAAAATAATAAATAGAAATAGCCCAAATAAAAATAAAGAATAATAATAAATGAAAATAGTTCAAATAAAAATAGAAAATAATAAATGGAAATAGCCCGAATAAAAATAATAATAAATGAAAAAAATTCAAATAAAAATAGAAAATAATAAATGGAAATAGCCCGAATAAAAATAAATGAAAATAATTCCAATAAAAGAAAAACGGGAATTTCTGCCCTCAGCCCTCCCGGGGGGGTTCCCGCCCCTCCCCGTCCTCCCCCGGGGGCGGCTCCAGACGGAACCGGGGCGGTCCCGGTGCCGCTCCCGCTCCCGGGGGGGTTCCCGGTGCCGGTCCCGGGGGGGGCTCCGGGGGGGGCTCGGATCGGAACCGGAGGGTCCCGGGGGGGGTTCCCGGTACCGTTCCCGGTCCTGGGGATGGCTCTGGGACTGGTTCGAAGTAGAACTGGAGGGTCCCGGGGGGAGTTCCCGGTGCCGATCCCGGGGGAGTTCCCGGTACTGATCCCGGTGCCGATCCTGGTACCGTTCCCGGGGGCGGTTCGAAGTGGATCCGGAGGGTCCCGGGGGGTGTTCCCGTTCCCGGTTCCGTTCCCGGTTCCATTCCCGGTTCCAGTGCCGTTTCAAAGCAGAACCGGGGTGTCCCGGGGGCTGTTCCCGTTCCCGGTGCCGGTTCCAGTGCCGTTTCGAAGCAGAACCGGGCTGTCCCGGGGGCTGTTCCCGTTCCCGGTTCCGATCCCGGTGCTGGTACCGGCTCGGGGCTGGGCGGCGCCCGCAGGCGGAACCACTCGCGGTTCTCGTGCAGCGCCCGCAGCATCTCCCGCCCGTCCGGGTGCACCAGCTCGGCCCAGGCCTCCCACAGCGGCTGCACCACGAAATCGATGAACCCCACCTGGGACACGGACACGGACACGCGTGGGGACACGGACACGGACACGGGACAGGGACACGTGTGGGGATGGGGACAGGGGACACGGGACACGGACACGCGTGGGGACGGGGACACGGGACAGGGGGACACGGACACGGACACGCGTGGGGACACGGACACGGGACAGGGGACATGGGACACGCATGGGGACAGGGACACGGGACACGGACACGGGACATGCGTGGGGACAGGGACACGGGACACGGACACGCATGGGGACGGGGACACGGGGATGGGGACATGCGTGGGGACAGGGACAGGGGGGACAGGGACAGCAGGAAAGGGACAGGAATGGGGACAGGGACACGGGACATGGGGATGGGGACGGGGACAGTGTGGGTGTGACAGAGGTGTCCCCATGTCCCCCAGGTGTCCCTCACCTGGGATCTCTCCACGGAGGCGCTGTGTTTGTCGCACATGGGGCTGATCTCCATGCCCCCGTACCTCCATGTCCTGTTCCCCCAGGTGTCCCCAGGTGCCCCAGGTGTGTCCCCAGGTGTCCCCAGGTGTGTCTCACCTGGGATCTCTCCACGGAGGCGCTGTGTTTGTCGCACATGGGGCTGATCTCCCTGTTCCCCCAGGTGCCCCAGGTGTGTCCACAGGTGTCCCAGGTGTGTCCCCATGTCCCCAGGTGTGTCTCACCTGGGATCTCTCCACGGAGGCGCTGTGCTTGTCACACATGGGGCTGATCTCCCTGTGTCCCCAGGTGTCCCCATGTCCCCAGGTGTGTCCCCATGTGTGTCCCCATGTCCCCAGGTGTCCCCAGGTGTCCCTCACCTGGGATCTCTCCACGGAGGCGCTGTGCTTGTCGCACATGGGGCTGATCTCCATGCCGCGCTCCCGTTCCCGGTCTCCCTGCCGGAAGAACTCCTCCATGATCCGCTCCGTCCACTGCCGGTACAGCCCCAGAGGTTTGGTGGGATTGCTCAGGTCAGCGCAGTGCACCATGTTCCGCAGCACCTGGGGACACCTGGGCACGTCACCGGGACACCTCGGGGACAGCGATGTCACCAGGGCCATCTCGGGGACAAGCAGGGACACCTCGGGGCACACAGGGCCTCCTCAGGGACAGGAATGTCACCACGGCCACCTCGGGAATGGCCAGGACCTCCCCCCCAGGGCACCTGGACCACCCCAAGGATCCCCTCAGGGCTCTTTGGGGACCCCCAGGACCCCTTGGGGACCCCCCCAGCCCCTTCAGGGATCCCCCACACCCCCCAGGACCCCCCAAAGATCTCCAAGTCTTCCCCAAAAACCCCTGAGACCCCCCCCAGTACCCCTTGGGGACCCCTGAAACCCCCCAGGACCCCTTGGGGACCCCTGAGACCCCCCAGGACCCTTTTGGGGTCCCCCCCAGGCCGTTTTTGGGGTCCCCCCCACACCTGGATGCGGTCGGTGTAGTTGTCCAGCAGCAGGACCCCCGAGCTCGTCACCTTCCTGGTCTCCACCATGGTCTTGAGGTCAGCCAGGAGACTCATGTGCTTGGACATGTCCGTGGCCAGCACCTGGGGACCCCAAAGTGGGGGGCTGGGGGGCCGGGGGGCTCCCCAGGGGGAATTTCGGGGGTCTCGGGACTGTTCCTGGGGTGCTGACCATGTCCACGGCCATCTGGCCCAGGGATTTCAGGTTTTTGGGCAGGGATTTGGGGGGTTTTGGGCATGGATTTGGGGTTTTGGGCAGGGATTTGGGTTTCTGGGCAGGGATTTCAGGTTTTTGGGCAGGGATTTCAGGTTTTTGGGCAGGGATTTGGGGTTTTTGGGCAGGGATTTGGGGTTTTGAGCAGGGATTTCAGGTTTTTGGGCAGGGATTTGGGGTTTTTGGGCAGGGATTTGGGGTTTTTGGGTAGGGATTTCAGGATTTTGGGCAGGGAATTCAGGTTTTTGGACAGGGATTTGGGGTTTTGGGCAGGGATTTGGGGTTTTGGGCAGCGATTTCAGGTTTTTGGGCAAGGATTTCAGGTTTTTAGGGGTGCTGACCATGTCGATGACCATCTGGTGCAGGGATTTGGGGTTTTGGGCAGGGATTTGGTGTTTTGGGCAGGGATTTGGGGTTTTTGGGCAGTGATTTCAGGTTTTTGGGCAGGGATTTCAGGTTTTCGGGCTGCTGACCATGTCGATGACCATCTGGCGCAGGGCCTGGCGCTGCCGCCGGGACAGGTTCTGGAAGATGTCGCAGTCGCGCTCCTGGAGCAGTTTGAAGCCCACGGCCAAGTGATGGTTCTCCAGCACCGACTCGTCGTTGTAGAGCAGCGCCAGCTCCGAGTCTGGGGGCACCGCCAGGGACCCCCGGGACCCCTCAGCGTGTGGGGAGGAACCCCAGAGCCCCCCAGGACACACAGAGGGACCCCTGGGACCCCCAGGACTCAGGGAGGGACCCCAGGACACACAGAGGGACCCCCGGGACCCCCAGGATTCAGGGAGGGAACCCCAGGACATGGGGAGGGACCCCAGGACACAGGGAGGGACCCCTGGCACCCACTGGTGTTGATGAGGAACTGGTTGGACACCCCGGGGTGGTCGACGTCGTGGATGGCGGCGGCAAAGAGGGCGGCCAAAACCTCCAGGTCGGTGAACACGTCCTGGGATGGGGGGAGGGACCCCCTCAGACCCCCCCCCAAAACCCAGTGGGTCCCCCCCCACCCTTATGTGGGTCCCCGTGTCCACTCGCAGTACCCAGTTATGGGTGCCCCCACCCCAAAATCACAGCCAGAACTGCTCCCACCACCCATTTTTCGGTTCCCTCACCCATTCATGGGACCCCTCACTCATTTATGGCTCCCATCACCCATTCATGGGACCCCTCACTCATTTATAGGACCCCACAAACATTTATAGGATGCCCCCTCCCCATTTATGGACCCCACCCATTTATGGGACCCCCCCCCACCCATTTATTGATTCCCCACCCATTTATGGCCCCCTCCCCATTGACGGCCTCCCCATTTATGGGACCCCTCATCCATTTATGGCCCCCCCCCATTTATGTCCCCCTCCCCATTAATGCCCCCTCATTTATGGATCCCCCACCCCACTGATGCCCCCCTCCCCATTTATTCAACCCCCCCACTCATTTACAGGACCCCTCACCCATTTACGGCCCCATTTATGGATCCCCCCTCCCCATTGATGCCCCCCTCCCCACTGATGCCCCCCTCCCCATTTATTTACCCCCCCCACTCATTTACAGGACCCCACACCCATTTATGGACCCCCCCCACCTATTTATGACCCCTCCCCCATTTATGGCCCCCATTTATGGATCCCCCCACCCCACTGATGCCCCCTCACCTGTTTATGGCCCCCATTTATGGATCCCCCCACCCCATTGATGCCCCCCTCCCCATTTATGCCCCCCTCCCCACTTATTCACCCCCCCACTCATTTACAGGACCCCACACCCATTTATGGCCCCATTTATGGGTCCCCCCACCCCACTGATGCCCCCCACCCCATTTATTCACCCCCACACCCATTTATGGCCCCATTTATGGATCCCCCCACCCCACTGATGCCCCCTCCCCATTTATTCACCCCCACACCCATTTATGGCCCCATTTATGGATCCCCCCACCCCACTGATGCCCCCTCCCCATTTATTCACCCCCACACCCATTTATGGCCCCATTTATGGATGCCCCCACCCCACTGATGCCCCCTCCCCATTTATTCACCCCCCCACCCGTTTATGGCCCCATTTATGGGTCCCCCCACCCCACGGATGCCCCCTCCCCATTCCGGGCCTGGGTCTGACCTGCAGGGCGGGGGTGGCCAGCAGGACGTGTGTGGACTGCAGCACGTCGGCGGCGTGCAGGCTGTTGTGGTACGCCACCTCGGGGTGGTAGTGCCGCTCCAGCGCCCGCGCGTAGCCCAGCAGCGCCCGCTCCGGGATCCCGAAGGCGCGCACCAGGTCCCGCTCCTGGGGCACCGGGGCACCGGGGGTCACCGGGGAGGCACCGGGGAGGCACCGGGGGCACCGCGGGTCACCGGGGGCACCGGGGGTCACCGGGGAGGCACCGGGAACATGCCCGGGATACACCCGGAGTGTGCCCAGAACACTCTGGGAATGCACCGGGAATATGCCCGAAATACACCCGAAATACACCCAGAATGCACTGAAATACACCCGGAATATGCCCAAAATATTCTGGGAATGCACCAGGAATACACCGGGAATGTGCCCAAAATACACCCGGAGTGTGCCCAGAACACTCTGGGAATACACCGGGAATATGCCCGAAATACACCCGAAATACACCCAGAATGCACCTGAAATACACCAGGAATGCACCCAAAATACACCCAAAATACACTGGGAATGTGCCCAAAATACATCCAAAAGACACCCGGAATGTGGCTGGAATGCACCAGAAACACACCCAAAATACACCGGGAATACACCCAAAATACACCCAAACACACCCGGAATGCACCCAACACACCCCACACCGCCCCACAGCGCCCCACACCGCCCCGGCCCCCCGAAATGCGCCGCTTTGGGGTCACCTGGAAGACGGTGAACATGATGCAGCTGAGGGAGCGGTTGTTGGAGAACTCGGACACGCGGAAGATGTTCAGGCCCCACTGGTTGAGGCTGTCCAGCTCCTGGGGGGGTGGGGTTCACTGGGGACCCCCCCTCTGCTCCCCACAGCACCCCCAGACCCCCCAACTGCCCCCAGACCCCCCCCACACTGCCCTGAGACCCCCAAACTGCCCTGAGACCCCCCCAAACCAACCTGAGACTCCCCCAAGACCCCCCCAGATCCCCCTCAGACACCCCCAGGACACCCCCAGCCCCCCCGAGATCCCCCCCCCAGATCCCCAGACCCCCCAAGACCCCCTGAAACTCTCCCCAGACCCTCTCAAGACCCCCCAGACCCCCATCAGACACCCCCAGACCCCCTCAAGAGCTCCCAAGACCCCCCAGACCTCTTTCAGACACCCCCAGACCCCCCAGACCCCCCTGAAACCCCCCAAGACCCCCATCAGACACCCCCAGACCCTCCCAAGACCCCCCAGACCCCCATCAGACACCCCCAGACCCCTCAAGACCCTCCCAGACCCCCCTGAAACCCCCCCAGACCCCCATCAGACACCCCCAGACCCCCCTGACACCCCCAGACCCCTTTCAGACACCCCCAGACCCTCCCAGCCCCCCCCAGACCCCCCCAGACCCCCATCAGACCCCCCCAGACCCCTTTCAGACCCCCCCAGACCCTCCCCAGCCCCCCCCCAGGACCCCCCGGACCCCCACCTTGCCCAGCTGCTCCTCCCGGTCGGTCTCCACGCCGTAGCGGGGCACGGGCGGGGGGTTGCAGCCGGGGGGCAGCGCCCGAGCCCCCCCCCCCACCCGGCCCGGGGGGCGGCCGCCGCCGCTTCTCCCGCTCGGGGGGGCCGGGGCTGGGGATCTCCACCTCGGGCTGCTTGTCTGGGGGGCACAGGCACGGCCGGGGGTCCTGGGGGGCTCGGGGGGGTCCCTATGGGGGTCCTGGGGGGCTCGGGGGGGCTCTGGGGGTCCCTATGGGGGTCCTGGGGGGCTCACGGGGGTCCCTATGGGGGTCCTGGGGGGCTCATGGGGGTCTTTGGGGGGTTTATGGGGGATCCTGGGGGGCTCACGGGGTTCATGGGGGGCTCACGAGGGTTTTGGGGGGTTCATGGGGGTCCCTATGGGGGATCCTGGGGGGCTCACGGGGGTTTTGGGGGACTCTGGGGGTCTCTATGGGGTTCATGGGGGTCCCTATGGGGGTCTTGGGGGACTCTGGGGGTCCCTATGGTGGTCCTGGGGGGCTCACGGGGGTTTTGGGGGTTCATGGGGGTCCCAAGATGTCTCTGGGGGGTTCCAGGGGGTCCTGAGGTGTCTGGGGGAGGTCCCATGGGGGTCCCTGGGTGTCTCTGAGGGTCCCGAGGGTCCCAGGGTGCCCTGGGGGGTTTGGGGGTGCCCCGGGGGGTGTGGGGGTGCCCCGGGGGGTGTGGGGGTGCCCCGGGGGTCCCGGGGGTCTCACCCAGGAAGGTGCTGGCGATGAACTCGGACACCTGATTCCCCGAGCGGCTCATCTCGGCCAAGTGCGTCAGCTCCCGGTTCAGCAGCCGCTTGAACTGGGGGGCAAAGGGGGGTCAGGGACCCCCGGGGACCCCCGGGGACACCCCCAAACCCCCAGGGACCCCCGGGGACCCCCCCGGACCCCCGGGGACCCCCCCGGAGCCCCAGGGACACCCCCAGGAACCCCCGGGGAGCCCCCCAGAGCCCCCCCAGACCCTCCCCGCACACACACACCCCCACCCCAGCAACCCCAAACCCCCCCCAGAGAGGGATCAGAGCCCAGGGGATGGGACTGGGATGGAACTGGGATGAACTGGGATGAACTGGGAGGGACTGGGATGGACTGGGATGAACTGGGATGGACTGGGATGGACTGGGATGGACTGGGAGGGAACTGGGAGGGACTGGGATGAACTGGGATGAACTGGGATGGGACTGGGAGGGACTGGGATGGACTGGGATGGAACTGGGATGGACTGGGATGGAACTGGAACAGACTGGGATGGACTGGGATGGAACTGGGATGGACTGGGATGGGACTGGGATGGAACCGGGAGAGACTGGGATGAATTGGGATGGACTGGGAGGGAACTGGGATGGACTGGGAGGGAACTGGGATGGACTGGGATGTACTGGGAGGGACTGGGATGAACTGGGATGAACTGGGATGAAACTGGGATGGGACTGGGGCAGGAGGGGCTCCCCCAGCCCCCTCCCCTGAGACCCCCAGGCCCCCCCGCCGGTCCCCGCGGCGCTGGTGGCACTGGTGGCACTGGTGACACCCCCCACCCCCTTTTCCACCCCCCCCCCATTTGCCCCCTCCCCAATTTTGGGGGGGTGGAGCATCCCCTGCATCCTCCCCTCCCAACAGCCAATCAGGAGCCGCCATCCCGTCTCCATGGCAACCACAGGGGTGGGGGGGGGGGTTTAACCCCTCCTGTACCGCCCCTCGCAGAGACCCCTCCCCAAAATCCCGCACGTGCCGGAGTTGGGGGCGAGAACCCACCCAGGGCCCCCCCCACCACAACACGACCCCCAAACTGGGGTGGGGGGCTCAGAGAGACCCCTCCCCCACCCAGGGCCCAAATTAAGGGGGACAATCCCCCTCAGGACCCCCCCCCAGCCCCAACACGACCCCCAAATTGGGGTGGGGGGGGGGCTCTCAGTGAGACCCCGGCCCCCAAACCGGGGTGGGGGAGGGGGCATGCAGTGAGGGGGGGGTCCCCATGACACTGACGGGTTGAGGGGGGGTCGGCCGCGCCCCCCACGCCCCCAAGCCCCCCCCCCTTACCTGGTCCCACCACCCCACCAGCCAGGGCCTGGCGCAGGTCTCGCAGAAAAAATCCACCAGAGGCATTTTCCTCCCCAAATTTGGGGGGGGGGGGACAGGGGGTGCAGACCCCCCTCCCCACCCCCACCCCAGCCTCGCAGGGACCCCCCCCGCTGTTCACCCGGGGGGAGGCGCCCCCCGCCCCGGGGACACCCCCAGACCCGCTCAGGGCCCGGGGGGGGGTTTGGGCATGGGGGGAGTTTTTTGGGGGTGGGGGGGGGGGAGCGGGGCCAGACCCCCCCCAACCCACCCCCCCCCGCCGGAGAACGCACGGGGGGTGGGGGGGGGGCTCACATCGCCCCCAGACCCCGATTTGGGCTGGGCAGGGAAGGACCCCCCCCCTTCCTCCTCCTCTTCCTCCTCCTCTTCCTCCTCCTCTCCCCTCCCCCGGGGGTCCTGAGCCCCCCCCGGGGGTCCTGAGCCCCCCTCGGGGTCCCGGAGCCCCCCCGGGGGTCCTGAGCCCCCCAGGGGTGGTGGGGGGGGGTCACTGAGCGCCCATGGGAGGAAGAATTTGGGGGGGGGGGGGGGAGGGGCAAAAGGACGCGGGGATGGGGAGGGGGGAAAGGGGGGCGGGGGGAGCCGGGGGGGGTCTGGGGGGGTCCGGAGGGGTCTGGGGGGGTCCGGAGGGGTTTGGGGGGGGTCCGGAGGGGTTTGGGGGGGGTCGGGAGGGTTTGGGGGGAGTCCGGAGGGGTCTGGGGGGGGTCGGGAGGATTTGGGGGGCTCTGGGGGGGTCCGGAGGGGTTTGGGGGGGGTCCGGAGGGGTTTGGGGGGGGTCGGGATGGGTTTGGGGGTGCAGGGAGGAGATGCGCGGTTGTGGGGGGAGGGGCGGTGGAGGACGCGGAGGACGCGGGGGGGGTCTCGGGGGGTCCCCGGGAGTTTTGGGGGGTCCCGGGGGGTCCCGGAGGGTTTTTGGGGGTCCCGGGGGGGTCCGGTCGGGGCTGCGGAGGCCGCGGAGCTCCGGCGGGGGGGGATGGGGGGGTCGGACGCCTGCGCGAGACGCGGCCCCGCCCCCGCCCCGCCCCCTCCCCACGGTCACGGTCACGGTCACGGCGCGGGGGGGGCGCGGGGGAGGGGACACGGCGGGGACCCCCCCAGCGGGGACAGCCACCGAGGGGTGGCACCTCCCGGGGGTCGGGGACACCCCAAAAGCATCGGGGACCCCCAAAAAGGGGTCGGGGGTCCCTCCGGGGGGCACAGGGGGGGACAGGGCCGGGGGGACTCGGGGACACAATCCTGAACTGCGGCCACGGCCCTGGTGGCACCCCGAGGTGGCCACGGCCACCGGGGCCAGCGGGGCCACCAGTGCCACCAGCACCCCAACACAGCCACGGCCACCAGGGCCACCAGTGCCACCAGTGCCACCAACACCTCAACAGGGCCACTGCCACCAGTGCCACCAGTGTGACCAGTGCCACCAACACAGCCACAGCCACTGGGGTCACCAGTGTGACAAGTGCCACCAGTGCCACCACTGCCACCAGTGCCACCAACACCCCAACACAGCCATGGCCACTGGTGTGACCAGTGTGCCACCAGTGCCACCAGGGCCACCAGTGTGACCAGTGCCGCCAACACCCCAACACAGCCATGGCCACCACTGCCACCAGTGCCACCACGGCCACCAGTGCCACCAGTGCCTGATGCCAGCGCTGCCCCCACTGTGCCCAGGGCCCCCCAGCCCCTTGTCCTTGTCACAGTCCCCCTGTCCCCATTGTCCCCTCTGTCCCCATTGTCCCCTCACTGTCCCCACTGTCCCCTCTGTCCCGCTGTCCCCATTGTCCCCTCTGTCCCCTCTGTCCCCCCACTGTCCCCACTGTCCCTGCTGTCCCCCTGTCCCCCTGTCCCCTCGCTGTCCCCCCTGTCCCCCCGCTGTCCCCACCTTGTTGGAGGCCATCTCGCTGACCGCTCGGTGGGTCTGCAGCGTCTCGAGCTGCTCCAGGCACCAATCGAGCTCCTCCAGCGTGTCCCGGGCCAACTGCCGGGCCGTGTCCTCTGGGGACGGGGACAGGGATGGGGACAGGGGACAGGGATGGGGACAGGGACAGGGACAGGGACAGGACAGGGGACAGTGCTGCTGGGCCGTGTCCTCTGGGGACAGGGATGGGGTCAGGGACAGGGATGGGGACAGGACAGGGACAGGACAGGGACAGGGACACAGGGGACAGGGATGGGGACAGGGACAGGGACAGGGATGGGGACAGGGACAGGGATGGGGACAGGGACAGGGACAGGGATGGGGACAGGGATGGGGACAGGGACAGGGACAGGGACAGGGACAGGGACGGGGATGGGGACAGGGACAGGACAGGGACAGGGACAGGGACAGGGACAGGGACAGGGACAGGGACGGGGACGGGGACAGGGACAGGACAGGGACAGCCCCAAACCCCCCCGCCCCCCTCACCCCCTCACCTGACAGTGTGGCCTTGGGGGGCTGCGAGCCGAGGGGCGACTGCCTGGGGGAGGGGGGGCAGGGAGAGGGGTCAGGGCCGGCCGGGACCCCCAATTTTGGGTGGGGGTGGGTGTCAAGGTCAAAGGTCAGAGGTCAAGGCCACGCACGTGCTTCCCGGGGGGGTGGTGGCTTTGGTCAGGATGGAGAAGTTGGTGCGGACACTGCGGAGGCTGGCCAGGACCTGGGGGGGCAGGGGGGGTCAGGGGGACATCGGGGGGGGGACAGACCCCTGAGACCCCCCGGGACCCCCTGAGACCCCCAGGGACCCCCCCAGGACCCCCCGGGACCCCCTGGGACCCCCCAGGACCCCCCCGGGACCCCCAAGACCCCCCACCCTACCTGAGCAAAGGGGGTGACGATCAAATCCTCAGCGTGGCTGGAAGAGAAATTGGGGGGGGGGGATCAGGCAGAGGCCCTGGGACCCCCCCCTTAATTTAGGGGGGCTCACAGAGCCACGGGGGGGGTCCTGGGGGGGCTCTGAGGAGATATTTGGGGTCTTTGGGGAATTTTGGGTCATCTTGGGGGAATTTGGGGGGTCGTCAAGGGGATATGGGGAGAAGGGATGGAGGGATGGGGGGGGGATATTGGGGGGGGTCTCCAGGACATGGGAGGATATTGGGGGGGGGGTCTCAGGGTCTGGGCAGACACCAGGACTATTCCGGGGTGCTGTGGGGGGGGTGCCAAGGGAGATCTTGGGGTTCCATGGGGGTCTCTGGTGGGGGTCCGTGCCTTGATGGCCACGGAGGAGCTGCGGGAGAGGATTTTGGGGGGTCCGGGGGGGGTCCCCAGGGCCGGGCGGAGCTCGGGGGGCTTTGGGGGGCTTTGGGGGGCTTTGGGGGGCGCGGCACTCACGCGTCGCTGGCCACGGAGGAGCTGCGGGAGCCGCTGCGGGGCGAGGCGGGGCACTCGCTGTCCGAGCGGTACAGGAACGACTCGCGGCGCTGCCCCGGGGGGGCCCCGGCCTGGAGCCCCCGGGCCTCGGGGGGGCTCGGGCCCCCTCCCCACGGGCCATTCTCCACCTCCGAGCTGCGGGGACAGCGGGCGGGGTCGGGTCCCAAACCGGGACCCCCACGGTAACCCCCCCCAGTTCTGTCCTACAGCCCCCCCAGTTCAGTCCTGCAGCCCCCAGACCCACAGTTCAATCCTGCAGACCCCCCGAGTTCAGTCCTGCAGCCCCCAGACCCCCAGTTCAATCCTGCAGCCCCCCCCCCCAGTTCTGTCCTACAGCCCCCCCAGTTCAGTCCTGCAGCCCCCCAAAACCCCCCAGTTCAATTCCTCAGCCCCCCAGTCCCCCCAGTTCAACCCTGCAGCCCCCCAGTTCAGTCCTGCAGCCCCCAGACCCCCAGTTCAGTCCTGCAGCCCCCCAAAACCCCCCCAGTTCAATCCTGCAGCCCCCAGACCCCCCAGTTCAATTCCGCAGCCCCCCCAAACCCCCCCAGTTCTGTCCTGCACCCCCCAGTTCAGTCCTGCAGCCCCCCCAGTTCAATCCCGCAGCCCCCAGACCCACAGTTCAGTCCTGCAGCCCCCAGACCCCCCAGTTCAGTCCTGCAGCCCCCCGGAGGGGGGTCCCCGGCCCTGGGGGGGGGTCCTTAGCCTTGGGGGGGTCCCCGGCCCTGGGGAGGGGTCCCTAGCCTTGGGGGGAGAGGGGTCCCCGGCCCTGGGGGGGGTCCCGGCCCTGGGGGGGTCCCCGGCCCGCCCGGGGGTGCAGCCCCCCCCCTCGGGGTGCCGGGGGGAGCCGGGCTGGGGGGGTGCGTGGGGGTGGGGCTGACTCACCGCCGGCAAATTTAGCAACGGGCTCCGGGAAGAACGAGGGAAAAACGGCTTTTTTTGGGAATTTCCGCGGCATCGGTTCCCCACCCCCCCCCCCCCCGCCTCGGGACGGGGTGGGCGGCGGGATGGGGACACCGGGGACACCCGGGGGACACCGGGGGGATACCCGGGGGGCAGCTGGCGGCGTGCCGGGGGTCGGCCCCGGTTTGGGATGGGGTCTGGGGTCCGCACGGTGCAGCCTCCACCCCCCCCCCCAAAATTTGGGATGTGGGGTGGGGGGGGTCCTGCGGATCGTTCCCGGTGGATCCGGAGTGTCCCGGGATGGGAGAGGGACGGGGAGGAGGAGGAGGATGAGGACGAGGAAGGGATGAAGGCGGGGAGGGGGATTGGGGAGGAGGAGGGTGAGGATGGGGATGAAGTAAGGATGGAGAGGAGGAGGAGGAGGAGGAGCAGGACACCGGGAAGGCGACGAGCACCGGGATATTTCCCACCCCAAAAATCCACGCAGCGTCCCCCCCACCCCCCAAACCACCGAACCCGGCGGGTGCCGGCCCCGGGGGCGCCCCCGTTATTCCCGGGAACCGGGATTTCCTCCCGGCCCACCGGGACGTGCTCGGCAGCATCACGGAGCGAGCCGTGAATCATTCCCGGTGGCCGCGGGTGACTCATCCCCCCGGAGCGGATCCCGGCGCCCCCGAAATGCCGCGGGAGGCGCGGACATCCCACCGGGAACCCGAGGGGGGCAGCGGGAATTCCCGGGGGCTGCCGGAGCCCGGGATTGTCCCCGGGAACCGGGAAAAACCTCCGGGAACCGGGAACTGCCTCCGGGAGCCGGTAACAGCCTCCGGGACCCGGTAACAGCCTCCGGGGGCCGGGAAAAGCCTCCGGGAGCCGGGAAGAGCCTCCGGGAGGTGGGAAAAGCCTCCGGGAGCCGGTAACAGGCTCCGGGAACCGGTAACAGGCTCCGGGAGCCGGTAACAGCCTCCGGGAGCCGGTAACAGCTGCCAGGATTCGGTGGCAGCGGGATCCCGGCTGGATCCCGGCACGGCCGCGGCTCCGGCGAGACCCGACCCGGTTCCTCCTGGCCGGGCTACCGGGGCGGGGGTCGCAGGGCAGCGGGGATGGGGGTCCCACACCGGGGGGGCGTTTTGGGGGGGGGGTTTAGCGGCGTTCACCGGGGGGTTCCGGCCCTGCTGCTCCCCTCACCCCCTCCAGCTGCTCGCCGTGCATGGGGAGGGGAGGAAGAGGAGGAGGAGGAAGGAAATCACCCCCCCCCCGTCCCCCCCCGCCGCTCTCCGAATCCCGACCATCTGCCGAGCCTCCTGTGCATAAATTAACGCCCCTAATGAGGCCGGAGCCGGCGGAAGGACGCGGAGCTCGCGGCACACGGCGGCGCCTTCCCGAGTTCTGTTCCCGAAAAAAAACTTCCCGGTGGGAGCGGGAGGGGCCGCGGCCAGATGGAGCCCGGGGGGGCCGCAGCCCCCCCAAAATCTCCGGGATCCCGGGGGTCCTACGGCGGGGCAGGTCCTGGGGGGTCCCGGTACCCCCGAGTGCCTCTCCGGTACCGGGAGGATGCTGGGGGGCTCCCAGTGCCGGTACCGGGATGGGAATGGGGCATCCCAGTGCCGGTACCGGGATGGGAATGGGGGATCCCAATATCGGTACCGGGATGGGAATGGGGGATCCCAGTGCCGGTACTGGGATGGGAATGGGGCATCCCAGTGCCGGTACCGGGATGGGAATGGGGATCCCAGTATCGGTACTGGGATGGGAATGGGGGATCCCAGTGCCGGTACCGGGATGGGAATGGGGCTCCCAGTATCGGTACTGGGATGGGAATGGGGGCTCCCAGTGCCGGTACCGGGAGGATGCTGGGGGACTCCCGGTGCCGGTACCGGGATGAGGATGGGGGCTCCCAGTGCCGGTACCGGGATGGGAATGGGGGATCCCAGTGCCGGTACCGGGATGAGGATGGGGGATCCCAGTGCCGGTACCGGGATGGGAATGGGGGCTCCCGGTATCGGTACTGATAGGATGCTGGGGGTGCTCCCACCTCCGGTACCGGTACCGGGATGGCGCTGGGGGTGCTCCCACCTCCGGTACCGGTACCGGGATGGCGCTGGGGGGTCCCGGGGGTCTCGCCGCCGTCACCTACCGCTTGCCGGTGCCAGGGGTGCCGTGGAGGGAGGAGGGCCAGGACATGCGGGCGCTGCGCAGCCCGGGCCGGTCCCCGGTGTCCACGGCATCCGCCCGCTCCATGGGCCGGGGCCGGTGCCGGTCGGTGTCGGAGAAGCCGCGGTGGCGGATGCGGATCGGGGTGCGGGGCTGCCGCCAGAGGTGCTGCGGGGGGCGCAGGGCCCCCGGGCCCTCCCGGGGCACCGGCAGCGACAGCGACAGGCTCTTCCCGGAGCCCGGCACCGGCTCCATCATCGCCGGCACCGGGGGGAGCGGGCACCGGGAATGCTGCCGGGAGCGGGACCGCAGCCACCCGCGGTGCCGGCGCCGCTGCCAGTAACGGTGACGGTACCGGAGCGGGTCCCGGAGCCGCCCCCCCACACCCCGCCCGGTGCCAGAGCTCCTCCCGGTGCCGGTTCCGGGGTCCCTCCTTAGCGATCCGCGGTACCGGCAGCGGCTCCTCCCGGTGCCGGGCTCCGCATGGCCCCGCGCAACCGGTTGGAAAGACCCGGGAAAGAATCTCCCGGTGCCTCCGGCGCCGCCGCCGGTGCTGCCGCCGGTGCCGCTGCCGGTGCCGCTGCCGGTGCCGCCTCCGCGCCCGGCTCGGCGCCTCCCCCCGCCCCGGGACCTCCCCCGCCCCCGGAACGGCTCCGCCCCGGGACCCCGTGGACCCCCCCACGCAGAGTCACGGCGGCGCGGCCCCCCCGTTAAGCGGAGATCCCTCCCCCGGTATTGCCAGACCGGGAATCCCGGATCTTCCCCCTCACGGGGGGATTCCCCCGCCCAAAACCCTCCCCAGAGCGGGGACACCCCCCGGTCCCCTTTAGGGGGATCCCCCTTCTCGGGGGCTCCCCCCAATTTAGGGGTTCCCCCCCCAGCCGAGGGGACCCCCTCGTGTCCCCCAGTGCCCGAACTGGGCTCGGGGGGCATGGGGAGCCCCCAGCCCAGCCCAGCACGGCCCCCATGGCAGATTTGGGGCTGCAGGGACCCCCCCCCCCAGCACCCCACCCCACCCCAGGCCGGCTCAGGGTCCAGATTTGGGGGTACCCCCCGTTTCCGTGCCACGCTGGGGTCACCCCCTCCCCAGAGGCTCCGGGGACACTCGGGGGTCGCTGTCCCCAGCCCGGGGGCGCTGCCCTTGCCCCGGGGGATGTGTGGCACTGTCCCCATGTCCCCATCCCCCGCCAAGGGACCCCTCCCCGCACGGCCGGAGCGCCCCAAAACCCCCCCGGGATGGCACCGGCGCCCCCCGTGTGTCCCCCCCCGTGTCCCCCCCGTGTCCCCTCCCGTGTCCCCCCGTGTCCCCCCCGTGTCCCCCCGTGTCCCCCCGTGTCCCCGTACCTGGCGGGGCGGGCCGGGGTGCCCGGCGGGGCCCGCAGGGGCAGCGAGGAGGGGCGCGGGGGGTCGGGGGGCTCCGGGGGCTTCCAGGGGGGCACCGGGAGCGTTCCCGAGAGGCGGCGGCGCCCGCGGCGGGGGTCGGCACCGGGCATGGCCCGGGGGGGCTGCGGGGGGGGCACGGGGCACGTCAGAGGGGCGGGGGGCACGGCACGGCACTGTCCTGGCACAGCACGGCACGGCATGGCACGGCACTGCCCTGGCACGGCACTGCCCTGGCACGGCACGGCACGGCATGGCACGGGATGGCACCGCCCTGGCACTGCCCTGGCACGGCACGGCAAGCGAGTGGCACAGTAGAGTGTGGCACGGCACGGCACGGCATCACCCGGCGGGGCACAGGGCACGGCACGGCATCAAACTGCAGGAATTGGCACGGCACGGCACAGCTCGGGATGGCACCGCCCTGGCACGGCACAGCTCGGGATGGCACCGCCCTGGCACGGCACGGCACGGCACAGCTCGGGATGGCACCGCCCTGGCACGGGATGGCACCGCCCTGGCACAGCACGGCACGGCACGGCACGGCACGGCCCCAGGACCCCCCCGCCCTCCCCCGGTGCCCCTGACCTGCGCTCGGGCCCGGCCACGCCGCTCCGGTTCCTGCTCACGTGGGGTGCCGGGGCTCGGGGCACCGGGGCCGCGACGGGAGAGCCCGCGGTGCCCCGAGGGGCGGCGGGACCTGCGGGGAGAGAGGAGGGTGAGGGGGAGTGCGGAGACCCCCGGTAACCCCCGGTAACCCCGGTAACCCCCGGTACCCTCCGGTTATCCCGGTACCCTCCGGTAACCCCGGTACCCTCCGGTAATCCTGGTACCCTCCGGTAATCCCGGTACCCTCCGGTAATACCCGGTACCCTCCGGTAACCCCGGTACCCTCCGGTAATCCCGGTACCCTCCGATAACCCCGGTACCCTCCGGTAACCCCCGGTAACCCTGGTACCCTCCGGTAACCCCCGGTACCCTCCGGTAACGCCCGGTAACCCCCGGTAGCCCCGGTACCCTCCGGTACCCCCCGGTAACTCCCGGTACGGGTTGCCAAGGAAACCGCGGCATCGCATCCCGTGGGACCACCGGCCACGGGCACCGGCACCGGAATCCTTTCCGCGGCACCGACACCACCCCCGGTACCGCCGGGCCCGGAACCCCCCAGACCCGAATTCCGCATTCCGCCGTTGCGGTCCCGGCCGTTTCACGGTACCGGGGCAGCACCGGGACCGGGGGGGCTCTGGCCGCGGCAGGGACGGAACCGCCCGGTGCCGTTCCCGTTCCCGGTGCCGTTCCCGTGCCCGTACCTGGCCGCCTCCCGGTGCCGCGGCACCGCCCGGCATCCTCCCGCCGTTGTCCCCTCGGGAGCGGCCCCGGTGCCGCGGGAGCGCCCGGTGCCAGCGGCGGAAACGCGGCGGGGGCGGCTCCACCCACCCCGCCCCGGCCCCGGCCCCGCGCCCGCCCGTGCCGGTGCCGTTCCCGTTCCCGGTGCCGGTGCCGTTCCCGTTCCCGGTGCCGGTAGTACCTGGCCGCCTCCCGGTGCCGCGGCGCTGCCCGGCATCGTCCCGCCTTTGTCCCGGCGGGAGCGGCCCCGGTGACAGCGGCGGAAACGCGGCGGGGGCGGCTCCTCCCACCCCGCACCGGCCCCGCGTGTCCCCGGACCGGGAGCTCCCGGTGTCCCCGGTGTCCCCGGGGCTGTCCGCGCGTTCCTGCCGCGTCCGTCTGTCCCTCTGTGTCCCTCTGTCCCTCTGTCCCTCTGTCCCTCTGTCCCTCTGTCCCTCTGTCCCCTCTCTGTCCCTCTGTCCCCTCTCTGTCCCCCTGTCCCTCCCCTCGGCCGAACCCCCTGAAATAACAAAAAAAAAGGATTTTAACCCCACTCCGAACCCCTCAGATCGCGGGAAATCAGCATTTCCCCCCAGTTTCACCCCCCACAACGCTCCCCTTTCCCCCTTTCTGCTTTTCCCTCAAAAATCAACATTTTGGGGCCTTTTGGACGATTTTCCCCCTTTGAAAGATCCCTCGAAACGCAGCGTCCCCCTCGATTAAACCCCTAAAAAAGGAACCTCTGGATTTAAACCCTTCAAAATGAGGGGAAACGGGGATTTCCCCCAGCCGAACCCTCCGGGCGATGAAAGCGGGGGCTGCCCTCATTTCCAACGCGCCGTTAAAAGGGATTTCCCTTGTTCGTTCAGCCCGGAGCTAACGGGAAACGGCGGTTCCCGGCGAGGGGCACCCCAAAATCACGGGAAAAAATCAAATTTCTTCCAAGCGGCACCTCCCACACCGCAGCTGCCGCGGTCCTGGCGTGGCCAACCCCCTTCGTGCCCTCCCCAAATCCTGTCCCAGGACCCCCAAACTCCTCCGTGCCCCCCCAAAACCCCCCAAAATCTCCCCAGGCCCCCCAAAATCTCCCCAGCCCCCCCAAAATCTCCCCAGCCCCCCCAAAATATCCCCAAAATATCACTTTACGACAGTGTGGCCAGCGCGGCGGCGGCGCTTTACGGCGGTGTGGCGAGCTGGCTGAGGAGGCGGCGGCGCTTTACGGCAGCGTGGCGGTGCGCTCGGATCTGCCCAGATTAAAAAATCTTTAATCGCCCTTTAAAGCCCTCGAACCCACGGCAGCACCCCCGACAATGCAACTGTGAAAAGTGCGTATCTCATGGTTAGCTTTTCGCAAACGTTACCGTGAATATTGTACGTGTAATGTTACAAAGTGATGCTGTATTCATTCTCTTAAGTAGTGTGTTCAATACAGTTTTAGGTTACAACTGTGCAAAACGCCAATCACATAATGTTAAAATAGAAACTCTGCCATATAGGACTTGTTACAATCTCAAGCGAGAAAATGAGATAATCAAGAAACTCTTCACACAGAGATGGCAGCGAAGGGGTCCCATAAAAAGTTACAGCCTCCTTATCAGAAAAGACAAAACATTCTTCCACCTTCTCTCTGTCTTTTTTGGAACCAACAAGAGTAAGGAGAAGAAGTTGACAAACACCAGAAAAGTTCTTAATTTGCAAGGAATTTATGCATCATGTATGAGATATATGAATATGCAACAGGCTATTGCTTTTAAGGTTATTCCTTTGTTCACAAGGCATGCTTTTCGTGACTTAGTGTCCGAGAGCATCCCGACCGCCGTAATTATTTGTTTTTTATTGTCTTGTGATTGTCCAAACTCTGAACTTTATTACTCTCATTGAATTACTATTTTTATAACCATTTTATTATTATTAAACTTTAAAAAGGTGGGAAACGTGAGGGGGAAAAAGGGCGGGAAATGTGAGGGGAAAAAGGGCGGGAAACGTGAGGGGAAAAAGGGCGGGAAACGTGAGGGGGAAAAAGGGTGGGAAATGTGAGGGGGGGAAAGAGAGGGAAATGTGAGGGGAAAAAGGCAGGAAACATGAGGGGAAAAAGGGCGGGAAACGTGAGGGGGAAAAAGGGCGGGAAATGTGAGGGGAAAAGGGCGGGAAACGTGAGGGGAAAAAGGGCGGGAAACGTGAGGGGGAAAAAGGGCGGGAAACGTGAGGGGGGAAAAAAGGGCGGGAAATGTGAGGGGAAAAAGGCAGGAAACATGAGGGGAAAAAGGGCGGGAAACGTGAGGGGAAAAAGGGCGGGAAACGTGAGGGGGAAAAAGGGCGGGAAACGTGAGGGGGAAAAGGGGCGAGAAACGTGAGGGGAAAAAGGGCGGGAAACGTGAGGGGGGAAAAAGGGCGGGAAATGTGAGGGGGAAAAAGGGCGGGAAATGTGAGGGGGGAAAGAGAGGGAAATGTGAGGGGGAAAAAGGTGGGAAACATGAGGGGAAAATTACAAAGTAATTTTCCAGGTGTTCACCCCCACCCAGCTCTGCCTCACCCCAGCACCGACCCCACGGTTTAAGACCCCCAAAGCCACCCCACCCACACCTCAGCCCCATCCAAGCCCTCCCATTTTTCCCCCCATAACCAAACTCCAGCACAGAGTCCTGAGGCTTTATTAGAAGATTTTACGGGGGTCACACACACGAGACCCCCCCAGAAAATAGGCTACAAAAATAGAAGTGCTAAAAACCCCCCAAAAAGTCCGGGGGCAAAATCCAGGCTCCCCCAAAAACGAGGGTTTGTAGTGTGAGGAACCAGCCCAGAGCCGGGGGTCTGGGTGGTTTTTGGGGACCCCTCCTCAGCTGGAGGCAGCCCGGCCGCGGGGGGCTCGCGCTCGCCGCGCCGCGGTGGCCAAGCGCTGCTGGGCGAGGAAGGAGCGAGCTCCGCCGGGGCCGCCGCGCGCCGCCGTCCCTCCTTCGTGCTGCCGCAGCGCCAGCCCCTGAGGGGACACCGCGGCGGGGTGAAACCGGGGTCCCGGGCGCTCCCCGGGGGTCTCCATCGTCCCCACGCTCACCATGTTGTACCAGGCGGTGACCAGCAGCCGCTCCTCGCGCTCCCGCTGCGCCTGGCTGCGCTCCCAGTCGTTCTGGGGGTGTTGGTGGTTCATGGGGGGCTCAGCTGGGGATGGAGACCCCCGGGGATCCCACACCCAGGTTTAAAGCCTCACCTCCAGGTGCCGGATCAGCGCGTCCTTCTCCTGCAGCTGGCTGCGGAGGAGCTGCAGGACGGGGGCCAAGGGGGGGGTCCCAGGGGGGTCCCCAGGGGATGCTGAGAGTTTTTGGGGGGGCGACCTCGTGGAACCTCTAAATCCTGATCCCACGGCGGGGGCAAAGAGGGAGGTTAGCCAGGAAGGACCCCCAAACCCCCTCAAATCCTCATGGGGAAACTGAGGCAAAGTTCATCTCCTGCCCCCTCCCTCCAGACTTCACCCCCCAGGATCCCTATACAACCCCCAACCTGAGGAACCCCAAAATTTCCCCCCCCCCAGGACTCCCCACACCCTGACCCCTCCCCAGATTCTGATGCCCACTCCAGAACCCCTCATACCAGCCCTGGAGAGTTCCAGCTCTTCTTCCTCCTCCTCCTCCTCCTCTCCCTCTGGCAGCTCATCCCTGGTGGGGCAGGGGGTGGTCAGAGGTGGGGGACATTGGGAGGGCTCCCCAAATTCCCTCCACCCCCCAAAAACTCACAGGTCCTCGGGGGTCTCCTCCAGCAGCAACAGCTGGGGGGAATTGAGAAGGAGGTGAAGCAGCAGCACTGAGGTGCCCCCAATAAAACGTGTCCCCCCCAAAACACCGAGACCCTCCCCAAGACACCGAGACCCCCACAATGAACTGGGGACCCCCCCAAAACCTCCCTGGTCCCCCCCCTCACCTTGCCCTGCGCTGTCCGAGGCTCAGCTGCCTCTGCGGCCTCCAGCCTGTGCGTGGTGGGGGGCTGTTAGGGATTTGGGGGGGGGTCTCAGGGGTCTTTCGAGGACCCCCAGACCCCCCAGCTTCCCCACCTGTGCCGGAGCTGGTCCCGCTGCAGCCGCAGCCGTCGGTTCTCGCGCCGCAGCCGCGTCACCGTGTCCCTGGGGGGACACCGGGGCGCTCACAACGAGCTGGGGGGACACCCCCAAACCCCGTCCGTGTTTTTGGACCCCTCCCCGAACCCACCTGAGTTCTGCGGGAAGGATCTCAGCCGCCAAATTCCGGGGAGGGGCTGCGCCTCCCTCCAGCCCTGCACCTGGAGTGGGGAGGTAAAAGATCGATTTTGGGCAGGGGGACAGCAGGTGACACCCCAAAATTGCATCCAAACCCCCCCAAATCCTGCTGCAGCCCGAAGCGGGGGCTCTCCGGCGCCTCGTATGAGGACGGTGCTCGCTCAGGAGCGTGTCCCCTCCCGCCCAGGTGTGCTGTCACCTCCCGGGGCGGGGGGGTCTGTGCCCCTCTGCACGCACCTGCCCGGCTCAGGCAGCTCTGCTGCACCTGCGCGCAGCGCAGCTCCTCGTTGGCCTCGCGCAGCGCGTCCCGCTCCTCCAGCAGCCGCTGCGGGGGCACGCCGGGCTCAGGGGCGGCACAGGTGTGCCCCCAGGTGTGCCCAGGTGTGTCCCCGAGCCTCGCCCACCTACCTCCTTCTCCTGGCTCAGGGCCTCGAATCGCTCCTGCAGGTGCCGCAGCTCCAGGTGCCACTTCTCGGCCCTCAGCGCCGCCTCTGCCCGCTGCCCGCTCAGCTCCTCCACCTGCGCCGCGACGCCGTCAGCGCCCCGGGCACGGCAACACCGCGACCACCGCCGCCACCCTGCACCGCTCACCTGCCTGCGGGCGGCCTCCAGCTGCGCGCAGCCCGCCTGGGCGCGGCCCAGCTGCTGCTGCAGGTGCGCGGCGCGGCGCACCTGGGCGGCGTGCCGCTCCTCCAGCGCCCGCGCCCAGCGCCGCAGCTCGCCCGCCGCCGCCGCCCGGCCCCGGTACGTGGCCACCGCCGCCTCCAGCCGCCCCGCCCGCGCTGACGACGCCCTGGGGGACGGGGACGTGGTGCGACACCTGAGCGCAGGTGTGTGCGGCACCTGAGCCCTGACACGCGGCCGGTGGCACCGCCCTGATGGTGATGGTGGCACCGCCCTGATGGTGATGGTGGCACCACCCTGATGGTGATGGTGACACCATGGGACGTGGATCTACCCAGGAGCTGCCTGGCTCACCTGAGCAGGTACCCCGGTTCACCTGAACAGGTATCTCAGCTCACCTGAGCAGGTGCCCCAGCTCACCTGAGCAGGTGTCCCAGCTCACCTGAGCAGGTATCTCAGCTCACCTGAGCAGGTACCTCGCCTCACCCGAGTAGGTGTCTCAGCTCACCTGAGCAGGTATCTCAGCTCACCTGAGCAGGTACCTCGCCTCACCCGAGCAGGTGCCCCGGCTCACCTGAGCAGGTATCTCAGCTCACCTGAGCAGGTACCCTGGCTCACCCGAGCAGGTACCCTGGCTCACCTGAGCAGGTACCCTGGCTCACCCAAGTGGTGTCTCAGCTCACCTGAGCAGGTACCCCGGCTCACCTGAGCAGGTATCTCAGCTCACCTGAGCAGGTATCTCAGCTCACCTGAGCAGGTACCCCGGCTCACCTGAGCAGGTATCTCAGCTCACCTGAGCAGGTATCTCAGCTCACCTGAGCAGGTCCATCTCGTCGCGCAGCGCCCGCGCCTCCCCCGCCAGCCCGCTCAGCTCCTGCGCCCGCGCCTGCAGCCCCCGCGCCTCCTCCTCCAGCCGCGAGCAGCGCGCCCGCAGCTCCTCCCTGCCGCTCTCCAGCCTGCAGCGGGACCCCCCGCCTCAGGTGAGGCTCTCAGGTGAGGCGGGGGCGGGTCCCAGGGGGCGAGTTCCCACCTGTAGTTCTCCTCCTGCAGCTCCTCCACCTGCGTCTGCAGCCGCAGCAGCTTCTTGGCGGCGGCGCCGGCGGCGTCGCACTCGAGCTGCTCCCGCAGCGCGCGGTTCTCGGCGGCCAGGTGCCCCTTCTCCTCCTGCAGCGCGGCCACCTGCGCGCCCAGGTGTGGGGGATCCCCTCCCAGGTGTGTGGGATCCCCTCCCAGGTGTGTGGGATCCCCTCCCAGGTGTGTGGGATCCCCTCCCAGGTGTGTGGGATCCCCTCCCAGGTGTGTGGGATCCCCTCCCAGGTGTCCCCACCCCGCCCACCAATGGCTCAAACCGCCTTTCCCGTTAAACCCGGGACGTTCTTGACCGAGCAGGGGGAATTTGGGGGGAGTCCAGGTGTGCAGGGTCCCTCCCAGGTGTGCAGGGTCCCTCCCAGGTGTGCAGGGTCCCCTCCCGCTCGCCCTCGGGTGGAAATTTGGGGGCACTCAGGATTTGGGGGTCCCCCCCAGGTGATTCCGGGCCTCACCTGCTGCTCCAGCTCGTGGCAGCGCTGCCCCGACCCCTCCTCGGGGGGCTCCTGGCTCAGGTAGTAATAGCGGCGGGACTGGGGGGCACAGGGGGGGCTCAGACATCCCCAAATACCCCCGAGACACCCCAAAATCTGCCCCGCCCCCCCTCACCTGAGTGTCGAAGTTCCCGTAGGTCTCGGCCGCCATCGGCTCCGACGGCTCCGGATCCAAGAGCTGCCACAAGGGAGGGAGAAATTGGAATTTGGGGGGTGGGATCGAGGTTGGGCAGGGGGGCTTCTAGCCCCCCCAGTAACCCCAGGGGGTCCCCAAAACTCCCCCGGGACCCTCCAAGCCCTGTGGTCCCAAACCACCCCCAAACCAACCACCCAGTGAACCCTCACAGGACCCCCCCAAACCATCCTTGGGGATCCCCGACCCCACCCAGGATCCCCCAAAACCCTGAGGGACCCCCAAAACCACCCAAGGACCCCCAACACCACCCAGGG